TTTGTTTTTAGGTTATAGTGTCTTTTCTTTATCAATATACATTTGTGTGTTACTGTGCATATGTTTTTAGAATTATCTGGAAATAGAGAAATATTGGAAAAAATTGAACTCACACATAAAACGAATGTAGAAACATTTAATTTTAGAGAATACTAAAGAAATGCATTTAAATGTGTATTTATTTTCACATTTGATTGGTTTTTTAATAAAATCCCTTGTGTTTAACATAAGAACTTTGCAAATAGGCATCAACTACATAACCCCCTCTATTTAAATACTCTCACAAATACATTTATCATCAGATAAATTTGATTAAGGCCTGATAAAATTCTAAAAGCAAGCAAACCGAAAAAATCCCAAAGGCAGAATAAATACAGATGAAGACGCTTATTGGAAAAATGAAGACACTTATTAGATAAATGAGGACACATATTAGGACACTTAACGAGTTGCCACTGGTTTAGCACTCCCAGGAGCTGCAGAAGGAAAACTACGATTCCCAGAGTGCTTAGAGTGAACACGGAAGTCACGGCATCCGAACCGTCTGCCTCAGTCCCGCCTCATCACTCCAGTGATTGGATGCTCCACTTCCGCGCCTCTGGATTTCTCTCCATCCATTGGTGCAGACGCCATCGGGGTCAAATATAGCGTTTACGTTCGCTTTGCTGCTTTCGAACCTACCGCCTCTCCCTGCGTACCAAGATGGCGGCAGAAGCAGCTGGTGGGAAATACAGAAGCACAGTCAGCAAAAGCAAAGACCCTTCGGGGCTGCTCATCTCTGTGATCAGGTGAGGGAGGCAGGAGGCAGGGTCAGGGGACAGGGGGCAGCGGCTCGACCTCCGCTTTGGAAAGGAGAAGGGTTAGCTGGGTTCCACCCTGTTGACACTTTTCTTTGCTCCCTGCCTCCCCCAGCCCCTCTCCCGGGTCCCAGCCCACCCCAGGGTCTCAGCAGTTCTCCCTTTTTTCTCTGGGGTTGGACCTAGAGGGAGGAGCCACGCCTCGCAGTCTTTTTTGGGGGCAGAGCCCTCTATTGGGGTCCTCGGGCCCTGGAAGCACGCTGATTGGGTTTGATAGAGAAAGCCAGGTGAAGGTGTGTTCATTGGTTCACACATTGTTTGTTTATTGCTTGCCTGTAGCATCGCTCACTGTGCAAGGCGGTCTTGTTTCCTGGACATCTGGGTTTAAGGCCCTGAAGTCCAGAGAATCCTGTCACGAGTTGCAGATTGTGTTTTCACACGCTGGACACTTTAAACCACCTGTGAATGGCCACAGCCTCAAATACAGGAATCGGCAGTGAGCTGGTAGAAGGACTCGTGGGTTTGAAGGCACACATCTGTTTTCGTTTTTTGTTCTGCCTTTTCCTGCCTTCCTATTCTGATGTATTGATTAAAAACAAAACAAAATAATTTTCAAGTTATCCTCCATGCACTTTATTTTCCCATAATATTAGGGTGGGAATGGGAGTGATGGACCATTTAGGGCCTTTTTATTCTTTTTAAGAAATAAATTGAGGATGGGGGGAATCCTATCAGGTACCATTAAGAATGATACAAGGAATGATCAAAAACAACCTAAATAAAATGTATTATGACACGTTATTACGTTGTTCGCATTTGAATTTCAACTCAGGTATTTTTCATAAAACCAACGGCTCTACCATCCCCTCAGCACCGCCTCCGCCCTTCCGTTTTCCCCACCTGTGCTAAAGTTTTGTTTGAGTTCTTGGAGAACTCCTGGAATGTCCTGACTTTTTTAAAACCCAGGGCCCACCTTATCTGGTAGGTACTAAGCAAGTGAATGAAAAGGTACAGCAAACTTTTAAAATGGCTTATCATTCACTAACCGATAAAGACCCATCTTGTGGGTCTTATTTAGGGGACTCTACTTTAAGATTATGGACTGTTAAATCATTATTATCAATTTTCTTTTAGGATTAAGAGAATAATTCTTCTCTTTATGGAAATGCTTAATAGACTTGCTAGGCCATACAGAGGAAATACTGTTCTTTCGTGAATCTACAGGCCCACGTTCTTGACATGACTATGTACAGGTAGTGTAGATGAATTTCATAATACTAAAACTCCAACTAGAATAATTATAGTTTCCATCTGAATCCTCTATGGAATTATAATACCTGTATGTGAATTTATTTGGATCCTTTTTCGAACTTGTTTATTTTTTCTGCCTTATAGTCAGCATTCATTTAAACAATGAGTATTTAGTGCCAGTTCATAATGTGGTGTCTGGTACTTGTTATATACTTAATAAATATTTTTTGAATGAATGAATGCCCTGAATTTTGCAAAGATGAGCCAGACATGATGTTACCCTTGAGGAGAGTATAGTTTATCTGAAGGATAAAGTCCATAAGTAAAAATGATGACATGAGACTAGAAGAGAGAGATGAAATGTTAGGGAATTCCAGGAGAACGAGTGGTTACTTCCAGTGGGATTAGAGGAGGTAGCAGCAGTATGCAAACGTACCATCTCATCTATGTACTTTTGATTCTGTAGGCAGTTCCCATTTCATTTATGCTATTTATGTTTTCTTCGGTGCTGGTTAAATTTATTCTAAATGTCATATATTTGAGAACAGCATGAAAACCAACCTAAAGCTTTTTTACTGATGCTGATTCAGAAACATACATTGCCTTTGGTTGACCATTCCTTTGTGTTCTCCAGGGAGAATCCCTTATGCTGCTGGATGGTGTCCAGTATGATTTTGTGGTTATCCATCCGTCTCTTGTGGCATTTTACATTACCTCTAGCACCGTGATGGAGGCCTAGGCATTTTTACTTTGATCTTTGTTGTGTGTTACTGCTTTTCATTTTTCTTCCTTATCCTTGACCACCTTAGACCACTGAATAACACTTTTATTATATTTGTTAAGAGTATGGTCTAAGCGAGTGTGCAGACCTAGCATCCTGGGCAAATTTAGTAAAGGTTGGGATTCATGGTTGCCTACAAACTTAAGACTGGACGATGTTGTTGCTATAGTGTTGGTGTTTGTATTTCAGCATTTCTCTGAGTCACGGGAATATATTGGAGTTGGAGTGAGGATGTTACTAACTCTGTCTCCTTGTTGTTTCTTTCCTGATATGCTTTTCAACATACTCAGGGGTTTAAATTTTATAAACAGTGGCAGTGACTGAGGGGAGAATGGTAGTATTACTTTGGTGTTTGGGAAGGAGGGGAGGGTAGGGTGCTGCAGGGAAGAATAGAAGGGGGAATGTATATTTCTTTTAAGTAAATTGTGCTATCACTCTGAAGTTGCTGCTTTGTGTCTCTGTTCAGTCTGTATTCTTTGCAGTTATCCTTGCAACATTGTATTTATTATTATTAGTTCCTTGTGCGAAACGGTAATTACCTTCTCCTGTCTTTAACCTTTTTGCAATTTTTTTCTGAAAGACTGTATCTTTCCTGGTTGCTTTGGCAATAAGCCTCAAAAAGGAAAACCCATTTTAGGTTTCTGTCTATAAAATCTGAGTATTCCTGAGACGTACCTGGTATGTGCCAGTTCGTGTTTCCATAGACCTATCATTTTGTCACAAAATAAATTACTTACTAGTGATAGAGTGCACTTTTGAAAAGTTTGATCAGTTTAGCTTTACTTATCTTTTTATATCACAGAGCAGTTGTTTTTATTTTTTTGAATAGTGAATATTAAAAATTCTCCTTCAATTCTCTTGTTCAGATATGTAGAAATTGTCACTTCTACACTACATTATGTATCATCAGAATACTTTGTATTATTTTAATGCTACTCTTAACAGTTGAAACAGCATTTATTGTTAGTCATCTTTTAATACTGGATTAAAAACCTACAGGTGGATAAGGTTTGACTTAAGGCCAAAGTAGGTGTAGACATGGGGAATATCCAAATCTCATACTATTTTCAGCCATTGTACTAAATAGCTAAATAATGACTATATTTTGCTTGTAAGATAGCCTATCACTTTAATCAAAAGCCAAAATAATTTAAAAACGAAATATAGTGTAACTGTAATACAAGTATGATATTTGGTAGATAGATATTTTTTAAGCACTTCGAGACTTATAAATAAAATTCCTTAATCATTTAAAAAATATTGAATAAAAATATTTCAGGACAGTCAGATATTTCAAAGAGTAGACTTCCGGGGTTTTTCAGAAGAGGTCCTCAGGCCTGTGAGGTAGGGCTTTGATGAGGGAACAGATGGTTCTTGGGATTTAGTCTGTTGGAGGTTGCTGCTAACTGCAGCTTTTGGTTTTAAGCCTTGGCACTGGCCCTTTAAAATGGAACTAATTGGATGGACAGGGTCCTGATTACCTGCTGATGTATGGTGGACAGTTGTACACACACACACACACACACACACACACACACAGAACATTTTCCTACTTTTCTATTGATTTTCCTCCCTAACCTTTTGTCTTGTGTGAAGTTGGAGGCCGTAGCCTCTCTGCTTAGGAAATAAGCAAGACGGCATTTTGGAGATGCTATTTTATTTCTGTGAGTTCCTGTCAGATTTTTAATTGGGAAATGTGTCTACCACTTACTGCTAGGTGATTTGCTTTCCAATTAAGTGTTGTCTCCCTTTTCTTTATAAGTTGGCTTGTAATAGCCAGTTTAATTGGGAAGACAAACTTTGGTTGTGACTTACGGAGACCTTATTGAACCCTTGGAGCAGAGTTTTTGAAGACACACTCTGGTTACAGATGTCAAGGAGGTCTGAAGGCAGTGGAAGGCTCACTTTTTCATCAACTTTTATGTCTTCACAGAAGTTGGAATTTCAAATACTTAAAAATAATCCTTTCTTCTAGACACCTGTTAAATTTCCTTCCTCCTCAGAGAGTATTTTGGTCAGCCCTTTATTTAATTCAAAGTAAACTTTGTTGAAGGGGTCCAGGCTTTGATCAGGGCTTTGAACAAACAGCTTTGAGGTTCTTGACAGAGTTTGTGGCGGGAAAGGAAGTGGTCACTCTGTTCTGAGCCAAGTCCTGGAAGTTGTATTAGATGTTAATGTTTCCAGCACCATCTCCTCTCTTCATTGAGCCCACCTCATAAAGCTTTTTAGATTTCTAGCTCTCTTTGTACACTGGGGAGTCTTGGCCCTAGCAATGCAATCTTGTTTGAAAATTGCTGCTAGAATACCTGGAGACTAAATGCTTTATTAATTTTCAGGAAGTCCTGGGACATCTGACAGTATATGTGGATATAAAGGGCAAAAAAATTGCCATTTTCTAGCTAAATGTGCAGAATTAAGATCTTGGAGACTCATGTTTTAGTTTCGGATCTCATGTGTAATTTTTTTTTTTTCAAGACAGGATCTTCCTATGTCATCCAGGCTGGAGTGCAGTGGTATGATCACAGCTTACTGTAGCCCTGAACTTCTGGGCTCAAGCAATCTTCCTGCCTCAGACTCCCAAGTAGCTGGGACTACAGGCACATGCCACCATGCCCAGCTAATTTTTAAAAAAATTTTTGTAGAGACGGGGGTCTCATTATATTGCCCAGGCTAGTCTTGAATTCTTGGCCTCAAGTGATCTTCCTGCTTGGCCTCCCAAAGTGCTAGGATTACAGGTGTGAGCCACACCACTCCTGGCTCATTTGTAATTATTAATATTGGAATTTCATGAAGGCCTTGAGACATATAGTCATATAGTTTTAATGGTGGGTGATATGGTCAGGTTTTTTTCCAAGGCATTACTTGTAGGCAGGTATAGTCACAGCCTGTGGTGGGAGGTGCAGTATGTGGTTTGGTGTAGTTAAGTAGAAACTTACTGTATTACCCATGCAACCTTGGA